CGAAGATGTCGAAATCCGAAGTACAAACTTATTAATAGCTTCTTTGAAGATCGTCTTCAAAGATTCTACGATTTTTAAGATACGTACGCGACATTTAAAATTGCAATTCGAATATTTTCTGAATTCTGTGAATCTTCCCCCCCCCCGAGGAATACGGAGAACGAGCATGGAATAGCCAAGTACTTAATTTTTTTTTTTTTTTTTTGGAAAATGAAGCGTTTCGAGGAAAATTCTCCAATGGAAAACAACAAACGACAAATCCTTCGTGTTTCCACGACTCATCTAACTTATCTTTTCCAGTGGACAAACGAGAGCGAAAGACTTCTTGTCTCTCTGTAGTTTAATTGAAGATTCATGCTTGGTTGACCAAAAAAAAAAAAAAAAGAAAAAAAAAAGAAAGAAAGAAAAAAAGAACAAGAAGGAAACTGTTTATACATTTCAATGTTACATTTGCAATGTTATGCTTAGATATGTAAGATATTGAAAATCGACGAAACAATTATTGTATGTGTACTTTAATCGACAATGCTTATAAATATTTAAAGAAAAAAAAAAAATAATCGTCTCGTAACAACGCATGGACTATCATGTGACATGCGATCTCATTAAGTATAATTATAGATTATACACCGTACCGTTACTCGCAACGTCAACAACACAACAACAACAACAACAACAACAACAACAAAAGGGAAAAGTAAGCGAAAGTAGACGAAAAACGAGAAACGAACTATATTTTGCCGTGCCAGACGAAAACAAAGCTGCCGCCGCTATCTTGTAGAACATGTTGTAATAATAATAATATCCAGAAAACCACATAGTACATTACTACTATACTTTAGGATTATCTATATAGTAAATTACATGCAAAATTATCGAATATTTATTACATAATTATCATTACGTTGCTCCATACTTCGAACCTTCGAGTAATTCCTGCGTTTTTATTTTTTATTCTTTTTTTTTTTTAACTCGTACTCGAAAATGAAATATATGCGTACATGTAATATAGTTGCAACGTGTTCATTAGACTTTTTTTTGCCAACTAATCGGAAACGAGCGAACGGGTGATTGCCGAATGCCTTTGCCGAGCGTTTCAGCTTAGTGTTGCAACAAATGGCTTTATTTGTCGCGCAGAAAGTGAAAAGCAAATTTCAGGATAGAGATAGGTATGTTAATTTTTCCGCCCGTTTCGTTTCATTTGAATTTTTTTTTTTTTTTTATTTTTTATTTTTTTTGAGCAGAAAATTCTGTTCTATTGTATGCACTTTACAAAAATTTTAGCACACACTTATCGTTCTATCGCATCAAAATGGAAGCGGGATGATAGACGTCGAAAAAGAGGTAAGGAATTGTTAAGCAAGAGCAAAGTTTCACGTATCGAATGTTAAAAGAAACGCATAAGATTTGCCTGCTATTAAAAGCTTTTGAATTATTAATGTAAACTTTATGAACTCGTGCTTTAAAATGCTGACGTTCTTATTTCCATCAGTATGGAATATTTATCTACTTATTCTCCGTTTCGCAACGAACGAAAAAAAAAAAATTTATAGTCTTACGTTCTTGATACATAAACTATAAATCTGCTCTTGGCACTGCCAAAGTGGTCGAAATGACTATAATTTTTCTTAGGAACTTTATGAGATAATGTAGTTTGAAAAATTTTGACGATTTTCCGAAAGATGTGTAATTGTGATAAAGCTTGTGTAACTTGTTGTATTATAAGTTTTCCATTTTTTTAAATCTTAATGTTTCCGATGGATTTGGAATTTCAGATTAACATTTCATTTTATGTAAAATACAGTAGAAAAAAACACGTGAGAATAATTTATTATATATTGCAAAAGTGTCAATATTCTCCTCTTTCACTCTATTGTTTAATTGTAGTACTACACACGAATAAGCGTGAGGATTTTTTTTTTCCTTTAAGTTTGCACGAATGTTTCATCTACGGAAAAGAGAAATTTCTGGCCCCCATATTCAGCCGTGGATTCTTCTTCGATTCACGTTACCGTTCCCTTTCACGAAAATTTATTCTAGATGTTTATTTTCATTTGTACCGTTACATTACGGCACGGCATACTTCTATAAATACAAATCTAAAATTATTTCCATAAAAACTATCCATCCGATTCGATCTTTTTCTTTTTCAAGAATCAGGTGATCGCGTATATAATTCACACGTGTACATGCACAGCGCAAATATTAATCCATACAAGATACAAAAACGATGGATCAAATGTTAATGAAAATCGTTCTCTAATATCCCTCTCTACCTATTTGATGAATATTTAAGAAGGATATTTTCAAGTTATCTCGCAGTACAAAGCCATGATACATAATACACCGAGTATAAACTGTAATATGTGTACGTATGTACGTATGTATACGTATTCCTAATGAAAATCAAATGAATTTTCATATCCCCTCCAAGGCGGGATTGCGACCGCTTGAATAAGCAGTGGCAGCTCGACGAGCGAGCATTCGTGCGTAGAACGTTAGTTGGCAGGTTCGGTCTCTTTCAGCGAGACTGAATCGACGAAAACGATAGGCCGCAAGTGAGAAGAAAGATCAAACGAGGCCCGAAACATCGGGATAAGAAGTCAGTCAGTCGTCCAGTGACCGTAATATTCAACTCAGTCGAGTTTCACTTCTAACCTGAATTCACGCTCCCGTGGTGGGTCTCTGGTGGCAACGTGCCTGCCCCCGAAGCACACATTTCCTTGGCCGGGAATTATCGGCTCTGAACTGCGATGATCGAAACTAACGAAGGTACAATCTGCTGAATTTCTGTTATTTTAAAGATCATCGTCAGTGTCCAGGGGACATTAGTCGTGCCAAAGTGTAACAATATTTCATGCACGTTTCACGGTCGACCGGCGTCACGTGTACTTTCCACTACAAGAAAGTAATCTATATTGTCGCGTATATTATCACGAGCGTACGACTCTAAGAATTTTGTTCACAAATACTGTACTTGTAGAAGGATTGACTACTAGAGGAAATATTATAACAACCAACCAAATTGATTGACCAGAATCAAGTATCATGTGGCCGAGAGACGTTGGTATCAAAGCGATAGAGATATACTTTCCTGCCCAGTATGTCGAGCAAACGGAGTTGGAACAGTTTGACGGTGTGTCCGCTGGCAAATACACTATTGGCTTGGGCCAATATAGGATGGGTTTCTGCAATGACCGCGAGGACATCAACTCTTTGTGCTTGACGGTTGTGCACCGGTTAATGGACAGGTATGACATAAAGCCAGAGGACATTGGACGATTGGAAGTTGGGACTGAGACCATAATAGACAAGAGCAAGTCAGTTAAGTCTGTCCTCATGCAACTGTTTGAACCGTATAACTGCACAGATGTGGAAGGAACGGACACAACCAACGCTTGCTATGGAGGTACTGCTGCTCTTTTAAATGCCGTGTCTTGGGTAGAAAGCAGTGCTTGGGACGGCCGGTTGGCTTTAGTCGTGGCTGGTGACAATGCTGTGTACTCTCCTGGAAGTGCTAGACCAACTGGAGGCGCTGGGGCCATGGCAATGTTAATCGGACCAAATGCACCTTTAATAATCGACCGTGGAGTAAGGGCATCGTGCATGAAACACGTGTACGACTTTTACAAGCCAAACTTAAAGTCTGAGTATCCCACTGTCGATGGGAGACTATCGGTTGAGTGTTACCTTAACGCACTGGATACTTGCTACCAGACTTATTGTAAAAAAGTAAAGAACAAGTATAACTATGACGTGACTCTGAATAGCTTTAATGCATTTCTATTTCATTCTCCATACTGTAAGTTAGTGCAGAAGTCATTCGCCAGATTAGCTTTCATTGATTTCTTGAATACATCTAAAGAAGAAGTATCTGAAAAGCATCCAGAGTTGGTGCAGTTTCACGATATTAAAGTTGAAGACACTTATTCTAATAAAGACATTGAGAAGACATTTGTAAATTTGAGTAAACCAGACTTTCTACAAAAGACGCAACCTTCTTTAATGATAGCAAATCAAGTAGGAAATATGTACACTCCGTCTGTATATACTGGATTAGCTTCTTTACTAATTAATAAACCCATAAAGGAATTGGCAGGCACTAAAATAGGAATATTTTCATATGGTTCAGGACTCTGTTCTACTATGTATTCGTTAACGATAACAAAAGAATGTAATGAAAAATCAGACTTAATGAAAATTGTCTCCTCACTTTCTTATATTAAAAAGGAGCTTGATGCTCGCCAAAAGATTTCCCCAGAAGATTATACAAAGATATTGGAATGGCGTGAACAGAATTGTCACACAGTGCCATTTAGCCCGCAAAGTAGTATTAAAAATATGTTTCCTGGATCTTACTATCTTGTACAAGTGGATGAAAAATATAGAAGAACTTACAACAGAGTATAAAACTTTTGTCAGTTCTTAATTTTAATTTAAAGTTTAACGAACAAACTGTTTGGGGTATTTTCAATTCTCTAATCAAAATTACAATGGTGCATGATTATGTATATAATTTAAAAAATAAATTAATAACTAGGATATAAAATATATTTTTATTAAACAAAAATTTTCTTAGTGTGCACTGAATATTATGAAATGTAAACTTTTAATTTTTTAATCTGTTTATAAATATAAATTCACAGATCCAAATTATATAGATATATAATAGACAGATATCATATCAATCATTTTCAGAACAATACTTTTGTTTATATATTTATTTATTATGTACAGTTTCTAATATATCTATTACGCAATTCTATATCTTTTTTAATTGAAGATAACAAAGTTATAATTATTGCTTTTCATCATGTTGGAAATAATAATTTAAAAAAAATTTTTAAATATATTTTTAATGCATTTTTGTCGATTATTAGTTTGTGAATTATGTGAATATTTAAAGAAAATAATAAAGAATTGGACATGGTTTTTACATATATGTATATATAAAAAGTGCCTTAACAATAAATTTTTTTAACTCCTTGATATTTAGTTTTTTGCTTGAACATACTGAATAATTCATTATTCTGATTTATGACAAGTCAGAATGTCAATGATGTAAACATAATATTATTCAAGTGTATATATTCATATGTACATAGAATATAATATATTAAAAATGAAGCAGTTTGTACGTAAAATAATTAATCAATAATTTTGTTATTTATGTTTTGCATATTGATAAGTCAATTGACACGTTAATTATAAAATGTTCAAATTTTTTATATATTTTGTTAAAAAAAGAAAATATTTGTAAAGTGATGTATTGCAATTTACCAACAGATATTTGTCTTGTAATGTTTATATATGAATGTTAATAAATAATATAAATGTAATATATTGTTCAACTAATATTTTCTTAAATATGTTTCTTTATTTTGATTATTAATTGACAATAAACGAATGTGAAGTACATTACTTATATTTTATTTTAATAATTTAAAGTTACAACAATGTTAGAAAAATAGTAGAATAGCAATTTTTTATTTAGAAAAATATGTTAATCATTTGTTTCTTTTGAGATTCATAAAAAATAAATACGAGCATTTACTTCTGTTACATTTATATATAGTTGAACTGTATAATTGTGATAGAGTATTATAAAATATAAAACGTTTATATTTACAAATCTATACATTTAAAATCTCTTAGGAGATTCATCTCCACTCAATCTTAAGTTTCCAGCAAAACTGTAGATGTAAATTTTTAGATTAATACAAATCTATGGTGACTTCTTTTTTCATACTTAAGCGATCATAAAATATTGGTTTAGTATTATGATCAGTTTTGTTCTGTCATTATGATGTAACTAACTTTTTTAATATCACATTATTTGAATCATTATAAAAATATTATATATTACTTTTTCACTTTATATATATTACAAATTTTAACTTAGGATATGTATATCATTTGTTCAAAAAGTACTACCTAAAATATTTTGTATGAACAACTTGAACAGGAAGACAATTTTCTACTCGCACCAAGTCTAACAACTTCATCTCCGTTAGCATTTATTTGGCGATTTTCGTGTCTTCTCTGGAAACAAATAAAAATCATATAGATTTCTTTAACTTATATTGCATTAATTTATATTATATATACTTGTATAAAAGACAAACGCTTACTTTAAGCTCAGATGCCAGGTAAAAAAATATAGAATCTATATTGGTATTTTCTTTGGCTGACGTTTCTACTACTTGCAACACTTCAGGAAAATACTGACAAAGAGTTTCCGCTTCTCCTTTTTCAACTTCTCGCAGACTTTCTAAATCACATTTATTGCCTATAAATTTTTTTGTTCGTTAATGTATATAATAGTCAAAGTGTAATTCGAACAAAATGTACGAACAGGACTAAATCTCACCAACTAAAATTAATAACACATGTGATGAAGTATACCTTCGTACTTCTTCGACCCAATGTTGTAAGCTTAAGAACGTGGATCTTTTTGTAATATCATAAACTGAAAGTTTGTAAGTATTACAAAGGACTACGAAGAGAAAATAAACGTGATATTTCTTACATACCAACAACAACACCATTAGCAGATCTATAGTAACTCTGAGTTATCGTGCGAAATCTTTCTTGGCCAGCTGTATCCCATATTTGCAACTACCATAATAATGAAATATTTTTTTTATACTTTTATATAACTTTATGACAAGGAAAATATTGAATCTTTTAAAGATTCATATAATACAAGTAACTTATAGGTTACACTTAAATGTGTAAAAAAAGTTAAAAAATTCTGTCATCTTTTTATTTGACACGTAGCAAATAAACGTACCTTAACCTTCTTGTCGTCGATCAGTACAGTTTTCATGGAAAAGTCCACGCCAATTGTATTTCCATGCCTTTCGATAAATGTACCAGATCGAAATCTCTGAACGACACACGTCTTGCCCGTTCCACAATCGCCGATAAGCACAATCTTGAACAAATAATCGAAATTTTCATCGTTTGTGGATATCAGATTGTCCGGGTCACGGTTCGACATTTCTTCTCGATCGAAATAACTTATCAAATCGACGACACTCTTTGCAACCCGTACATTCAGACTTACTACTGGTTACTTACGCCATTGTTTCATTCAATTCCACCACTTTGAGAACATTCTTGCTCTTACTTGCAATTAGTACAGTTGGTACGCGTATTCATCGAAACCGGATTTCAACATTGGGTCCCTTTTTTTTCTTCTTCCCATTCCAACTTGTTACACTTTTTCTGTCGCATAATTACACACTGCTGATTTTTGACAAATGAATAAACCACATTGTCAATTTCAGGGTATTTATTTCACTTAGAAATTAATAGTATTGAATTAATACAGTAATATTAATTCAATAATTCAATAACGGGGATGTAGCTTTTATTCTCAGAGAATGTTTTTGAAACGTTGATAAAAGAAACATGTTGGAAAATTACATGTATTTATTATAATTATTGAAATAAACATATTCTATATCTAATTAATTGTAAATGTAATAGGAAGTAACATGAACTATTTGCCGGACGTGAATTTTGAGAGGCCTTCTAATAAGCTGACATATGCAGTATGTTCATAACTTGTGCTGAGTTCGATTATTTTCTCCGCAAATTCATTTGAAACGCCTTTTTCTTCGAGATAATTCATCAACAAGTCATACAGATACTAAAAAACAAACGTTATACATGTACATATAAAAAGAGATGTATTAAATTAATTAAACAAAAATTTGAAATAGCTGTCACATTCTCACGTATTGATTTTATCAATGATAAAATTACTTCATGTGAGAATGTTTCACTTTCCCAAAGATTAATAATCAAAACGGGCATTAAATATCCCAATTTGTACTCAACACTTTGGTTTCTTTCACATAGATACATAGATATCACTACTTACCCCATCGATAATTTCACCAGCAACAGCATACACTTTGTCAGAATGTTCTCCTGTATATAGAGTAATTTCATCTATGCCAAAGATATCATCTAAAATTAAATATTAACATGTGAGAAAAGTATTTGTCTAATTGTACAACATGTAAGTTATAATTAACTTACTATAACTGTCATTGGCACCTGATGCACCAGGCTCATTATTAAAAGAACAAGTAAATCCTAGAGTTTGATTTCCCCTAACTATATCCACCGTGAAGGATGGTTTGCTCTTTATATCACCAATGTCTGGGCTATCACTGGTAACTTCAATATTAGGTTCAGAGTCAGAATCAACAGTATGATTTATATTAAATGAAATCCTAATCCTGTACAGAAAGAATTTACAGTAATAGAAGGTACGTATTTCTATGTGCACTATGTGAATAATTCTCTTACGTTTCATTGTCTTGTGTCTTCTCTAAATTAACGTCCGCACCGTCAAGCGAGACTTTAAATCCCTCCAATTCGGTGGGAATGGTTTTTAGTTTTTGTGCTTTTTTCTCCGCTATAATTTCTTCAGCTAGAAATTCCACGAGCTCCTTCTCAGCTAAAAAGAATAATTATACCAATGAGATATCAATTGTTTAATGAAAATATCTTAATCCCAAAAGGAATTATTATTAGCAACATATATATATCGTACGTAACAAAATGCAGTTATATATAACATATATATTAATAAAAAATATAAAATGAATTACGATACAATAAATGTACCTTTTGTATGAGAATGTCTACAACTGGAATTAGCACCCGGGCGCTTAAATAGCTTTACCGAAGCAATAGGTGTGATTTGGATTTGTCGAGAAACGTTCCATAGTGTTTTTAATTGATTATTCGCGGTTCCTGTGTTTGAGATTGATGAAAACAAAGTTCTAATTACCGGTGAGCGTAGCGTGTTTCTTACAATTCCGTTCATTTTAATTTTTACAATTAATGCCACTCTAACTTAAATCAATATACCCACAAAATGGTCTTTAGTGAACACGAGGTAGAATGAATAGCCCTGTCATGAAACAACAAATGTACAGTCTATCATCTCATCGTGATTTCCAGAAACAGCATTTGTTTAGTGATTTCTAGCGTCTGAGCTATAGTGAAATTTTAGATTGGAAAATTACTAGTGGTAATTTTGTGATTGTTCTAGTGATTGTTATGTAGTGGGTAGAGGTTAAAGATCTATTTTTTATCTATTAGTATACGTGAGACTCTGAACCACTCCAGAGAGAGCCTGAGGATAACTTTTATTACAAAAGGAACTAACTCGAAATAATGATTGTTAAATTTATGATCAATAAATATTGATTCAAATAGTTTCCTCTTTTCATCTGCGTTAACTTCTTAAATAGTCTAATCTATGTTACACGTAACAGGAGATACATAATCTACAATAATCACAAGATCTAACCCATATGTATATATTGTTTGTTTGCATACAGGTTAAATAAATAAATGAACAAAGAATTAAATATTCGAACAGTATACAAAATATTTGTTTTCTCTTGTATACATATAGATTTAAATTTTGTTTCTGATTTATCCATTAATGTTACTAAACATTAAGTCTGGTTTATATGTAGTAATAAACATCAATGTTTACCATTACTATCTTAGATTTATATATCTTTGGTTAATGTTGTGCAAGTAGCGGGAAACATACGTTCCAAGAAATACTAACGTAAAAAGCGTTTTGTAAGACGAAGAAAAATCGTTAATTTTATTTGACGTTTTACAAATAATTCGTTGTTTTACAAAATGTATTCGCTTACGGAAGGAGCACTGGACGTAAGTTTGGATATAAGGCTTGTATTTCAGGATTTAACCGAAAAAACGACGTAAATTTTATGTAATTTTATCTGATTTGTAGAAAATCATGAACGGGATTGAAGTCGAGAAGCCGATATTGCAAATATTGGTAAATAATCTATGTATTCTGTTTAATTTGATTTCCTGTCAATTCTGGAATCAATTCTGGTATATCTCGCTTTCGAATGCAATAATTGTTTGTAGGGTCACAAAAAGTTATCCAGTTCGAATAGCGGAGAACGTTACAGACTTCTTGTATCCGATGGGAAACGAGTGAATTCATTTACGATGCTAGCCACGCAATTGAATTCAATGATAACTGATAACATATTAACAGAATTTTCTGTTTGTCAAATAAACAGATATGCTATAAGCACGGTTAATAATGTTGGCAAACAAAAGTATGCAGTAATCATTTAATTTTTTTTTCAATATAGTTCTGAAACTTATAGTTTATGAAATTTTGTTTATTTCAGACGAGTAATGGTGATATTAAATATTGATCTGAAAGTTCCTGGTGAGCAAGTTGGACAGAAAATTGGTAATCCAACGAATGCTGAAACTGATAATGATTCTAAATCAGTGCAACCTGGACAATCCGCACAAGGTAATAGAAACTAACAGTGAACTAGTATAAATTATACTAATTATAATATTTTATTGCTCAGGTAACTTGATGCCAAAGCATAATGTTCAACAGGCTTCTACTAGCGATATAGCTACGACCCCGATTGTTGCATTGAGTCCTTATCACAACAGGTATGTCTGATTTTTATTTCTAATTTTTTAATACTATAATATCTTATAATGTCTTTATTTTTTAATATTTCGAATAATAATGTACATAGATGGGTAATAAAAGTACGAATTGTCAGTAAGTCTGCTATCAGAACATGGAGCAATTCACGTGGTGAAGGGAAATTATTTTCCATGGATCTTGTAGATGAGAGTGGAGAAATCAGATGTACTGCGTTTAGAGATCAGTGTGATAAATTCTATAATATGCTTGAGGTAATTATTATGTTGTTATATTTGCATTTCACAATGTTGCATTATAATTGTACATACATATTTGTTATATAGGTTGATAAAGTTTATTACATTTCCAAAGCAGCTTTGAAACCCGCAAATAAGCAATTCAATAATTTGAAGAACGATTATGAGATGTCCCTGACTGGTGATACAGAAATCATTCCATGCCACGATGCTGGAAATGATATTCCGTCTCTTCAGTTTGATTTTATTCCGATATCCAATATAGAGCAAAAAGAAGCAAATGACATAATAGGTCAATATTGAATTGAGGAAATGAAATCCATTAATATATCATACTAATCGTAAAATATTTATTGTAGATATTTTGGCTATTGTAAAATCCTGCAGCGATTTGCAAATGCTAGTGTCACGAAATACGGGTAGAGAAATGAAAAAGAGAAACGTTAATCTTGTTGATGAGAGCAATATTATGGTAAACTTCGTCTGATCAAATTGAGGAAATTAAACTAATTTTTGTAATATATAAATGATACTATATAAAATGAGTTTTTAGGTATGTCTTACATTATGGGGAACGCAAGCTGAAGAATTTAATAGAAGTGACAATCCGATTTTAGCCATCAAAGGAGCACGTGTTGGCGAGTTTAATGGCGGAAAGACCTTGTCTACTCTTAGTTCAACTGTTATACAAATTGATCCAGATATTCCAGCAGCACATAAGTATTAAAATTGTTAATAGATTTCTGAAAGTAATATTAAAAATATGTTCTTAAAACATTGGTACTTTATATTTCAATACAGGATACGAGGTTGGTTTAACACACTCGGGCATAACGAAGAAACTAAGTCACTTTCAAGAACATTTGAAAATATGACTGAAATGACTGGGTCATTGATCACATTTGCCGAGGCAAAAGCAAATAACTTGGGTGAAAAGGGCGTTGATGTGTACACGGTGAAGGCGACCATTAATATGTTACGCAGTGAAAATACTTTATATAAATCTTGCCCTTCTGAAAATTGCAAAAAAAAAGTAATTATTGTTTTGTATCTCATAAATATAATAAAACTTAGTTAATTAAGAATCTTAAGGAACTTAATTAAGAAATTTTGTAGGTGATAGATCAAGCAAATGGTATGTTTAGATGTGAAAAATGTAACAAAGAGTATCCCAACTTCATGTATCGTTTACTTGGAAATGTAAGTGCAAATCAAATGTTTTTTTTAATACAATAATATATCAACATTTAACATTTTTATAGGTAAGTTTGGCAGATTGGACAGGTAATCTGTGGGCCACAACATTCAATGACGAAGCAGAGAAAATATTAGATGTCACAGCTCCAGAACTTGGAGAATTGAAAGACAATGATAACAATGCATACCTTGAGAAGTTTGGCAATGCAACATTTAGAAGCTTCATATTTAAGATAAGAGCAAAAATGGAAACATTCAATGTAAGTTGAATGAACGCAGTAAAAATAAATCTTACCGTTTATAATTATTATTGCCAAGTGAAATTATTTGCAGGAGGAGAACAGATTAAGAACAACATGTATTGGTATAATCCCAATCGATTACAGAACCTACAATAAACATTTAATAACCAAAATCAAAGAATTAAGTGGTATCGATAATGCTTAAAGTTATTCGTTTGTGATACGTTTTTTTCTAGTAATACACGGTATGAGTTTACCAGGAAGTCTTTATTTTAAGAAAAATGGTATATTTTTACACAATTAATTTCTCATATATTGAATAAAAAGTATATGATTTCCTACATAAATAATAGTTTTTTTATATTTTATTAGCATGTAATTCAATTATTTTAATACCCGAAAATGTTAAATAAAATTTGAGAAATGTAATTGTCATTAATTATTCTGTGTTTTCTTTATAAATAATACCAAACTTTAAAATATTAAAAATGTAGTAACTTATAGTAATTTATCACATATTAATATAAGTTGCTATTGATTAAACTAAATCGGTTAAGTTTTGCTTATAATGTATATATGAAAAATGTGAAATTGTATTTCGAATAGTTTTACATGTAGATAATTTCGCAAAAGTCATATGATCCAACGTATTCATACCATCCATATTAGAGAATGATTCATTGAAACTGTTATTACGTAGGAACGTATTATTATTTAACGAGGTTAATGAAGCTGTGGATATGCGAAATATCCACAGCTTCAAATAATAAATTAAAATAGCTTCTAAAAATAAGTTATATTTGTTGCAGAGATCTGCACAACTATCAATTCAATTAGAAATATCGTGGTTTTAATAGATTAAACAAATGTAATTTCATTTGATCGATGCTACATATCATAAAAGCAAAATATTATGTGTAAATCTATTAAAACTATGAATACTTATAACCATGATGTCATTGTGTCTCTAAATGCTTCTATATAATGTTAATGATTGGCATTAATGCGTACACTATTAATAGCCATTTTTTAAGCAATTTTGCAACTGAAAATGTATTTTTTATAATGTAATTATGCAAAAACAATTAATTCATTAATACCGTTTGTGTCATATATAAATTGCTTACAATGAATCACATCTTTTAACATATAAAATGGATAAAAACGAAATTGGAATTCATGAGTCATATGCACTGCAGATCATCTATGCACCACATAAACTGTTCATGAATTCTATTGAATCAGATCTCGCATAGCTGCGAGTAATATCGTGATTATTTTGAGATTATTTGTAAAATTTGGATGTTCAAGTTTACATATTTGTTTAAATTTAAATATTAAAAAAGTGAATCGTTTTATGTATCCTATCAACGAATAAAAAGTACGTATTTTTATATATTGTAAAAACATTTTAAATGCATTTAAAATTTTTATAATATTTTATCAAAATATTTTATATTAAAAATATTTTAAAATTCCAAAGAAATTTTTTTAAACTTTTTATACCCGAAAACGAATACGTGACAAATTTGATGATTTATGACTCACCGCATCTGTTTAATTATCACTTGCAAATTGCTAGCGTTGAAACTTTGCGCCTGTGTATTGAGCATGCGCGAGTGACTCACCTTCCTAAAGCGCCAAAATGTTTCGTTTCGTCGCAGTACGAATTCAACCTTCCTCGAGAGTAGGTGATTTTTACGTGTTAAAGAAATTTTGCACGTCCGCTTCACATTTCGAAGAACACCATGGCTATTTGTAAGTACTTACATTTCGACATCAATAAATTCTCGAGTCAATGAGTCATTTAAAGTTAAAAATTTTCTTTATACATATTTTTTTTTTTAAATTTGTTAAATCAGTTACCGACACTCTGTTGAAATTTTCACAATTGTTACTCATTATTTCAAACTATAATTTTGTTTTTCTTGTAAAAAAAAAGGAATACAGCAAATAATAAAAAGTACAAGTATCACTTTCGACTTATTAAACAATAAAAAATACATGTGTACATATGTACATACATATGTATGATAATACTTTGAATAAGTAATTTTCTAAGATAATTAGAACAAAACACAGATTACGTAGAGATATATATTACATTTTCGAACTATGCTCGATACTAATTTCTATCAAAAACATTAAAAACGTTAATTTATACATTTCCCACATTTCGTATTGTAATCATTCGACGATTATCTCGAAATATCCTGAAATTTTCTTAATTTCTAATTCTAATTATAATACTTGATAGAAATGTGATGATTCGTATTATAGTATTATTACTGTTTCGATAAATATAAATAAAATAACATTCCACGAGAAGATTTGAAATATGATCGAAAATATCCTTCGCGTGACTTTTAAAGGATCACATCTATTTTTATCGAGTAAATTGCTTCGACAATATACTTGCATCTCCCAGTGACATAAACTCGTTTTCCACGATTTACTTACAATCGTCTATTATTCGATCTTGTCACTTACAAACATACGGATTATTTATTTCTCTAATAATTTCGTAGTTGTTTAAAAAATCAAAGGGCAACTTGCATCAAAAGTTGCAAATGGATATACTAATATTTCCATCTCACTGGAGATGGGAAACATCGAACATTCGAGAAGATTGATCGAAGCATGTTGACAAGCAAGTCGCTGCCTTATCGATCGAAGATCTATAGGAAATGTTGAAGAACAAGGCATATATGTTTACAGGGGAGAATACCTCGCTACGTAATTTCTTCTCTAGTGTCTAGCTAAATATAGTGTACACGGGTGCGGCCGGTTTGACAAGCCGGCCGGCCGGTCAGCTTTCTTAGCTACAATGCGATTTCATGAATCTATGTATGTGCACAGGAACATTCGTGCTACTTTTACTGAAGCGCAGAGATAGCTACGCTTGACCTAAATTTTTTTTTTTTCAAGCCTTATTACTTTCCAAATCTTTATTCATCTACAAATATAAGTCTCATAGAAAATAATAATGTTACAGAATAATATATATATGTATATTGGGTTGGTCAGAAAGTAATTGTGTTTTCTTCTAATAGATGGACATATACAGGGTGTCCCGCGACTGTGAGATAATTCCACGTGTAAAACTGAAGGTCGAGAAGAAAGGATAAAATTTCTTCATTGAGACCGTCGTTTTTGACGAAAATCGGGTTTGAAAATTTATCAACTGGCGCGAGGATATTCTACGTGCAAGAATTATTATAGAAAAGCAAAAAATATAGGATAAAATTTTTTTTTATTCAAGGCGTCGTTTTCAAGAAAATAAGCTTTGAATATGCTTCGTTGAAAAATTACCTTAAATACACGTGTACTTGATAAATTCGTCTTTCACTTGTAAAAAACGCAAAAGAAAAAAAGACGCTGTTATTTTTCAGCCTAACCTGATAATGATATAATAATTAAATAGCGTTACGGTACGGAGAAATGAAATTTAAACAAAAATCTGTTTCATTATTTACTAAATAACATGACGAACGCTCTATTTCGGATGTTTTGCATTAATTTTGTACATTACGTAATATCGTGTAATAATCTACGTAAAAATCATAGCAGTACTATGTCGCATACGACTCGACCTTAATTTTCATTATTCCGGTATCACGTCATCCTTGCAGGATTTATTGTGTAACTACAACTACCAGATTGTTTCGCAACGGCAATAGTTTTACTGCTTTCTCGATTGCGACGTGACAACTTTTTAACCAGAAATTGTTCATTTCAAATCGTATCGCTGCATATTTTATTGAATTATCATACTTATGTGATGGATGAATTAACTTTCTCCATCTTCGTGAAACAAAGATTACTTGCACCAAGTATCCAATATATGGTTTATTTTCAAATTTGTTTCGAACATTCATCATTAATTATATAATTATTTAATCATATTAACGAGGTTTATCATAGTAATTGTTTTACATTAGTTATGATTATAACTAATTATATTAGTTATGATTATAACTAATATAATTACTACATAATATATTAGTTATAATTTAATTATATTAATTAGGTTAGTGTTTTATCATAGTAATACATAAAACGCATTCACGAAATGTTTCTACGAATATTCGGAGAGCTTTTGCGAGCTACATCTATATCTTAATCGACGAACTACTGGAATCTTCTTTTAACTTAACGCTGGTTTATGCGAACACTTCCTCATTGGTGTAAGGACGAGTTGCTATGCGAGGTCAGTGACAGTGAAGTACGGATGAATACCAGGTTCACCAGACACTTATAAGGTTATATTGGTAATCATGTACTTGCTTGATTAATTAACTAAGCAACTAAGTCACTTACAATTAAGTCTTATGAAGAGACGTAATGATAAAAAATCGTCGTTACCTCTACTTACACTGATGAAAGATACTTAAACTTTGTAGAAGAAAGTTGTACAACAATCCACTTGGTCCCGTTTTAAAGCGTAAAGCTTCTACATTAACTATCCCGAGATCGTTTTGTTTCAGAGATGTTTTCTTTTTTACATCGTGCAGCGGGTAGAGTACTTTTATTTTTTTTTTTTTTTTTTTTT